ATTAATCGCTTCAGTGTTTATATATTCAAGCCTTTGCCTAACTGCTGGACATTTATTACTGGTGAGTTAAAAGCCAACCATCTGCTCAAGTCGATTCGTCGAGGCATTATTGTGGAACACTGTGGTGCAGAAATTGTGGCGGTTTGTTACGCCTCGCAAAACGGACAAGCCCAAAACACAGCCACTGGGCTTAAATGCCGTTCCTCAATGTCAGGGCCTCAAGATGTATAAACAGCACAAAACTTGGTAGAGTGAGCGAGGCAAACACTCAATAGGCACTTGAATGCCCTCTACGAGTTCCTACCAATTCCAACAGATGGAAAGCACATGAACCCCATTTATTGCCTAATGAGTGGGACAAATGCGCTTGTCGCTACACCTACGCAGTCACAACTATCACAGTTCTTGTCGTTTTACAGACCCAGGGGAATGACTGGCACCACCATATGGGCACGTGAGAATTTGCTGGTAAAGCATTCTAGAGCAAGGTGGAATTCGCCACCAATAATTGCGAGGACAACATTAAGTGATTGTGGCAAATTTATTATTGGTGGTATTTACAATGTTAACACTAAGAAATAAAATCTTGTTCACGTTCATTGCAATCTCTAGGAAGTGAATCGCATGTTGATCCAAACGAGGTAAGGCTGTTTGATTTGATCTGTGCCGTGCGCCTAGTACGCATTGTACAGAAGGTCGCTGTCTATCCCCGCAGAGGCCATCGGCTGGCCAACGGAGTGGGCATCACTGGTCTCTGGCTCCTTGTAGTTCGACGCCACGTCAGAAGAAGTAGCGCCCACACCTTCGAACACGATGAAAGCAAAGTGTGTCAACAAAGTCACCAGCACCATTCTTCTACAGCCACGACATCACGACAATTCTTTAGCCGCTGGCAGAGGTTGACATGGTAAGAAGTGGCAGTACCTACAAAATACATTTAGCGTGCGACTAATTTCACAGGAAAGCAGTTTCTCGTGCTAGAGGAATTTAACAAGAAATTTCTTGAAAAAATTCTAAGTATTAATTTAGATTAAGCGGGTACAGGACGAATGATATGACTTACAAACAAATCCAGGCAAAGCTTTTGGTGTCTAAATCTACTTATCTGCAAAAAATGACTTTCTGTCGACAAACAACAAATTCATAAGCACTATTATCATTTTACTCTGACTTTAAGATCTACGCCAGGACTAGTACCGAGACCAGTTTAATTCAGGCGTGAAGTATTGCTTGCAACAATGAGAAAAAAAGGCAGAGGAAAGAAGTCGAGGCTGAACAATCAAGGAATATGGCAAAGGTGTAAATCTCCCAGGTGTCACAAAGCATCTTAAGCATTCATTCATTCCTCTCCTCCTCCTTCCTTGGTAGACAATTGCAGTGATAATTTTAGTGCTACAGATCACTAGGCTGCATTGGCTAAGGGATAGTCCTCTGTCAATTTGGATACGACAGGTGTGCACTGATCAGCACAGGTCTTCAGATCATCGAGTCCCTTTGCTGCAAGTGAAATTGCGCTCTGCCATACACTTTCGTTTCATTGGACGGCATCACCGCATTCCTCTGGAATCTTGACCTATTGGAGGCCCTAGCCAACCTTTAGTTTTCCAATTGTTCTCAGCCCATAAAGACAACTTTTTTGCATGAGTGAGGTGAAAAGCAATTCCGTCCCTCCCTTTGTGCGTCCAAAAAGGCTGCAATGTAAAGTGTAACCGTACATTTGTTTCTTTAGGATGCATCAACTAGCCTGAGGTGAATGCCTCCAACACAAGGGAGATTTTTTAAATGACAAGAAAAAAACGAGCCACGGAATTCCTTTTACACCTTTCCAATCAGATATTAATGTGAGTATAGTAAAGACGCTTTGAATACCCATTGCACTGACATATTTGAAAGGGAAAAAAAAGGCTGCCAACCAGATTCAAGCACGCCTTACGATCAGTGAAGCTACTGTTCAAAGCGCATTTTTGGAGTTAGAAGACGGATCAAGTCGATGATTATAGGTCCGCTTTATTTGGGTAAGATGCACGAAGCAGGCGACCTCTTACTAGAGTCAGAATCCCACGAAAGGGACCACAAGGGGAGAGATAACCGATCACACTGAACGTGGCGACTCCTGATAGGACACTTGTTGGAATGCAGCAAAAGAAGTTCCAAGCAATTCGAAACCTTGATTAGAATGGCTTATTCTTGAGGCCGCATAAGTTTTTGAAAGCACTAAATTCGGTGAGGGACACACTCCGCGTCTGTCAGTGCCTCACGGTCCAGGTCACTAATCAAACAAAATCTCTATGCACAGACATCTATTGAACAACAGCAGTCAAGGCAAGAGAAGATGATCATGAAGTACACAAATGCGCCAATATTTACATTTTTACGAGTTGGCAAGTTCTCATTTGTTGGTCCAGTCATTGTACACGTTAATCTCCTGGCTGAGTGCATTCACAGACGTCTGACAGTCCTCCAGAGATGTTCTACATTTCACTTAACCAGCCTTCTTTTTCTTATTGCTAGAACAGTCACGTCAAAATGCGTAAGCAGCATACATTTCCACTTCACAGGAGCCTTCGCGGTTACGAAGTGGCAAATGAACTGCTTCGGTAGTGGCCTGCGCGTTCTCTCCC